AAGGATGTAGCTTAAGTTTGAGGTATAATTTACTGATGTTTTTGACCAAAAACTTATAAAGGGAGTGATGGTAAAATTCAAATTGAAGAGGATTTTTATATGTATTGATATCATATTGAAGTATGCAATCGTCTTATTTAAAAGGGACAAGGGTCTGAAAAATATCCTAACTTTGGTCGAATTTGTTGTTGCGATACTAAAACTTTCATGAGGACCTATTACCTCCCTAGACTATTTAATACCGTATTTTTTACCCCATGAACTATTTAATAGTGTATTTTAAAGGTATATATGTGCCCAACGTGGACACATTACTATTTATAATTTTGCATTATTTTTTATTGTCCACGTGGACAAATATATATGTTTAAAATACGGTATTAAATAGTCTAGGGAGGTAATAGGTCCTCATGAAAGTTTAGTATCGCAACAGTTAATTCGATCAAAATTAGGGTATTTTTTAGACCCTTATCCCTATTTAAAACATTAAACTATGAACATGATAGAATACTCTATTTTATAAACAACACCAACAACAATTATTAATTAATATAATCATCATTTAATATTATTCTTTTTTGATATTTCAGCATTACAAATATTGAACTATCACAACATTTTGAGTATTGGTACACTGTTGAAAACTTATTTGAGTAATATTAATATTTCAAAAATAATTGGCAATTACTAGGTTACTATCCAAACTTACAAAACTAGAGTAACATTCGGGTTGAAGAACATTAGGGAAAGATTCAGGTGGCTTCATATTCATGCTAATGACGATGTACAGAATCAAAGTGGGGATGGAGGATTTGGTATGTCGATTTTGAATTTGGGGCTTAGGGTTCGTCTTTGTTCTTGAGTCGGTTGTAGAGATGTGTGTACATGTTCTATGAGGAATAGAGGTGCCTATAAGGATAAGGAATTGGAGCTGGTTGTGGCTTTGTGCCTGATTTAGCTTGAGAATCTTGACCAACCTGTTGGGCTATGATGTTGCTCATGTTTCAGCCAAAGGTCATGACCTAATCCTACTTTGAAAAAGATTGAAATTATTTTCTTTATTTGATTTTCAATTCTATTAGGAAAGGGAATGGAATTGTAATTCTATTTGGAGTTGGTTTTGACTTTATGAGAAAAACCATACTCTATTTATAGAGTTGAGCAGATCGTGGCTTTCATAGAGTTGAGCAGATCGAGGTTTTGGGCCTGATTTAACTTGAGAATTTTGACCAACCTTGATTTAATTTTGGGTACAAAGAATAGAAATAAATGTAATGAAGGGACAGATTTCCTTTGAGAAGTTTCCTAACGAATTGGAGACACGAATTAAATATTTAATTTCTTAATTTTAACAAAGTAATACAATTTGCTAATTAAGTGTTGAAATCATTTAAAATTGAAGAAACTCGATGATTAATTCATGTTGTAAAGGGTCAAAATTTAGTGTCAACATTATTTCACATAGATACTTATTTTAGTGTAGCATACTAAAAAAAATATAAAGCTTTTAAGTTTAAATAGTAATTTTGTTATTTATAAAAGTAAGAATTAATTATAGTCAATAAAATGTTGTCATTTGTTCAATGCATAATCTTGGATGTTATGGTAATTTTTTATTTATTAATATTAAGTATTGAATTATTTAATCTAAAGTTCTAAAATATTTTTGATAAGAAGTAGATAATCTTTATTTCTTTATTTCTTTATTTTATATTTATAAGTTTGTGTTTTTTTAACAATTTTTAATATTATTTTAAATGAAATAAAATCATAAAATTCACTATTATAATTTTTTTTCGAGACCTCAAAAAGTCAAAATTATGGCCTCACCCTTAGTCACCTATGTCCTTCCTTCTGCCAAGGAAGTATTAAATCTTCTTCTGTCTAGCCATTACGATAATGTGCCTTGCAAAATTTTCTTTTATTCGATAAAACTTATTTATGTTCAAATATTATTTTAATTTTTGGCCAAACACATATACAACTTCCTTAACTTGTCCTGATTTTATTATTTTGACACTCTATCTTAGCTTTATTTCATTTTAATCCATCAATCACATTTTTTATGTACCATCTAAACATAAAATACTAATTTTATCAAAGATAATTTATACTAATGGAAATAGCTTTTTTGATCCATGATTATTTTCTTATTCTAGTTTAGTCCATGTAATATTCGACTACGCAGATTTAACCTTTCATTAAAGTAAAAGGATGATATAAATCCAATTATTAACGATAGTTAAATTAAGAAATCACACTATTTATTTCTATCAGGGTAATTCAGATACTACAAATGCTATACTCAATAAATAATTCATTGGGGCTAGATGTGTAGTCTCACTAGTGCTCGTTTCACCGCTTATTAAATTGTCCTTATTAAAGTCACGTTAGTGTTTACTTTTAGTTGATTTTTTTTTCAGAATAACGTGTTAAGTAAGATTCAATAAGAAAAAAATGGAATGATACAGTTAACTAGTTGTCAAATATAAAATGATGATATTCGCAACTATGTCATATAAATTGGGACGAAAAGAAAGATGACTAAGGGGAAGTTCAAATAAAACTTAGTTATTTCATTAAGGTGTTTGTGGTTCTGTTAATGATTGGACTAAAATTACCTTTTTTTATTTAACTGAAGGTTAAATTTGTGTTAGCCGAATATCATAGGGATTAAAATGGAAATAAAGCAATAATTCAAGGACTAAAATTGCTTTTTCCCCTAAATGGAATATAGCAAAAGACATTTTGAATTACAATATTGAAAAAACTTTATCCCAAAAAATTAGAAAACATTTTGTGTGCAAAAGGTTATAGCATGTTTTATTCTCTCAACATTAATTAACAAAGTCAAACCTCTCAATAGAAGCTTCTACCAAGTTGAATTTCAATAGTTTATCTCGTGTTAAATTGCCAAATAATAATGATAATAATAATCACTATTATTATTCCATTAAAACAAGAATCAATGAAGTTAATGGTGGTGGAAACTGGAAAGTCATGTGTCATATTTAGGGATTATTAAGAGAAAAGTTAAAGCTTCCATAAGAAAAAATATTTCCTTTAACAAGGTAATATGGGTATAAAACATTTTGTATTTACGTAGAATTTAAAAAATCACACTTCAAAGAATATGATATATCTCACGTCTTTCTTTGTTTTCTCCTTCTTATGTATATAAAAAAAAATATAATAAAGATGTTTGTATTCTTCCAACACACTATAAAGATGACCAAATATACTACTCCTTTTGTTGCGATATGCTTGACTTAATTCCAAGTATAAGGGTCAAATGAATTAACGTTCAATCTGAATTCAGATATAGAATATTTATTAAAATAAAATTTATATATTTAAAAATAATTTAAAAAGCATCATAAATCACAATTAACAATTAAAAATATTTAAAAAGTATTTCAAAAATTGAGGTTGAAAAAGATATCTTTAATTGTTCAAATAGTAATTATGATAAACAAATTGAAGCAAACAAAATATTATTAAATCCTATCTACTTTTACGACGGGGGAGAAGCTAGTCTCCTCTGCTCATTTTTTTCATATTTAGTAGCATTAGTTAGTATTCGCTAATTATCTTATTCTTCATTAATTTTTACTATTGTTTTCTGCTTTTTTCGCTTTACTATTTTCTTATTGTTATTTTCTCTTCAATCCTACATGAAATAGTCATTTATTTTAAGTCGAAAATGATTTATCTATCAAAATAGTCTCTGTCTTTTTGTATAGGAGTAAGATTAGCGTACATATTCTAGTCATAATACATAAACATGTCCTTTAACTTGGTTTCAACTGACATCTATACCCTCTAATTTGGGATGTGCATAAGTAACACTTAAATTTGTATAAATTTGAACAAGTAGGCCACATAAGACGCATATATCTACTTCTTCAACTTTATACAAGTCTAAGTGTCTATTTGTATACACCAAAAATTAAAGAACATATATACCAGTTAAAGCCAAATTAAAAGGCGTATTTATCTATTATTTGCCTATTCTATATGTATTGTTATTAGGGGAGCAAAGTGTTTGTCATGCCTGTAATGGAATCTCCATCTAATTATTAAAAACTTATATATATTTCATGGTGGGTACTAGGGGGGATTTATGGCATAGACTAGAGGATCTTATACTTTGTTCTTTTCCTACTATTAAAATTCATAACTTAGTAAAATAATTTAAAATATTATCTAATGAAGTACTGTGTAAAACACTTTTTATCTTACTATACATTTGTCATACTATCTTTTCTATGTTGTTTTGTCTACTTCGCGAATCTTCATTTTCATTAATAGTTTCTCATTCTTTCATTCGTTAACACGAGGTTTTTTCAAGAAAAAAAAATAACTATCTAATAAAAAAACGTTTCAATTATATATATGTACAGCTATATATATCTAGTGAGAATCATTTCGATTATATGTCACGATATCAATATAGACTGGGACAAGTGAATCATCGCTTTTTGTGTACAATTGTCAACTCAAAAGTTAAAAAGTTGATGCACTAGTTGGTTGCTAAGGTGTTGTGTCTAGTATTCTTGGGGTAATTTGATAGTGTAAACATAATACATACTGACGGTTTAAATAGCTTAACAAGTGCGGATAAAGAGGGTTGATTATCGATTCACGTGAACTAAGTAGCTTGTATATTCAATATATATGCATGCACACGCACATACTCACGATATTAAAAAGTAAAATTTTTGCAGCTGACAAATTATGTTGCTTAAATAGCAAAATTTGTCGCTAATCACATTTAGTGATTACGAGCTACTAGTGACGAAGTTCATAGCTAATCTAGTTTTTAGTGATATATGCGAAATATTTTACACTGAACTTAATTATTATTATTGTATTAACTTAAATTATTGTAAAAACTCATAAACTCCGAATTCTAAATCAATGTTAGGCTTAAACCCTTTTTGAAATACTTATAAATAGATGCTTACTCCCCCAATTGAGCTAAACCAAATATCAAAATAGTGAATCTTGAACTCTATCTCATCTCTATGTTACATCTTTCTTCATAATCTTGCACAAACTTCATTATTCTTTTTAATTTTCTTAAATTTTATTTTAAAATGATGAAGTTTGTGGAGTGTACCAATTGCCACACAACCTTACAACTCCCTAGTGGTGCTCAGTCGATACGCTGCGCAATCTGTTGCGCAACAGTATCGACTGACACAACCGAACTTCGAAAGACATCCCGGTTAACATCATACATGAATAACTACTTTCCTATGTTACATGGTCGCGCATCTCCCACGGCCGGACAGAAGATTCAACCTCCTCCGGCCTTTGGCCGGAAGAGGGCTTTGATTATTGGAATTACATATAAAAACACTAAAGATGAGCTCCAAGGATGCATCAATGATGCTAAATGTATGAAGTTCTTGCTTGTCAATCGATTCAAGTTCCCTCAAGAAGCTGTTATAATGCTCACTGGTAAAATATTCTCTCTTTTATTACTACTACTTTTTTGCCAAATATTCACTTTTACCGTCAGAGACGAAGCCAGAATTTTAAACTTTATAGGTTTTGGATTATAGAATGATGACTTCAATTGTTAATAATTGAGTTTTAATCTTATTTGTTTGAGATATGATGTTTTGAATTTAATAGTCAAAAACACATCTAGAGTATTCCTATTTTTTGAGTTTCATACCTGAACATCTGAGCTATCAGATGTGCAAGTTTTCTACCTAAACGGTACTATCACCAACTATTTATCAAAATACACCTCAACTATCGACAATTGAGTCGAGGGTCTTTCGGAAACAGTTTTTCTGTCTCCACAAAGTAGTGATAAGGATTGTGTATACTCTATCCTCCCCAGACCCCATTTATAAAATTTTATTGAGTATGTTGTTATTGTTGTACACCTCAACTATAGAATGTTCCCTTTTTCTGCCTGAAATATACTAAAATATGAACTGTCGGTATATATAACTTAGATTTTATCCAAACTTAGTGGATTCTTTTGGTCTGAACTAAGCATCTGATGCATAGTGTGTTTAATGTGTGTAAACAGTGTAATCTACTTTAGAATTTCATTGAGTTGTCCCATTAACACATTATAAAATACTTTCCCCAAAAAAATAAAATTTAAAGATGCCTATAGGCTATAACTTTCTTCAATCACACAACTTTAAAGAAAGAGAACCACCTTTAGGATTTCACATCACTTTGTTCTTCTTCAATGCTTTATATGACTATCATAGCTTTCTCCATAAAAGGGAGTTGCCTCCAAAGGAAATGCTAATTCCTTATATGGGCATCTCTTTTAACGATCATTCGTTATAACAACATTTCACTATAATTAGTTATTTTTTTGGAATCGATTGTTTGTGAAAGGTCATATTATATGGTTCTTATAACAGCATTTCGCTGTAGCAACCAAACAATATCCATACAACAACGTTGTTTTAAAGAGATTTGATTGTATAACCTGTGGAAATGAGATCAAGTAGATAACTAACTATGTTGGACAAGCAACCGTTGGTATTTCATGAGCGTTAACCGACGTATAACTTCAACACTAAGAGCTATGTTAGAAAGATTTAAGTTATATACACCGACAGTGTAAAGAATATTTGTTTACCATTAGTATAATGAGAATAAATGGAGTGACATTATCGACACTAGGTGGTTTCTTCCCATCTGTCTAAGCCTTAGCTTGGTGGATAGAGTTACCTGATATTTGTGTTGATGAGAGGTAGTAGACACCCCATGAATTAGTCAAGATGCGTGCAAGTTGGCCTAGATACCACAATCATCACAACAACAACAACAAAATAACTTATTTGTGATAAAACCAATTTTTTCATCTAGTTGTCCTATCTATTCCACCAAAACTCATATTAACCAATCCTAACTTCTAATCTTCCATTTTCTCACTTACAGAAGAAGAAAGAGATCCACACAGAATTCCAACTATACGTAACATAAGAAAAGCAATCTATTGGCTAATGCAAGGTGTTAAAGCAGGGGATTCTCTGGTGTTTCATTTTTCTGGTCATGGCTTACAACAAAGGAACTACACTTTAGATGAAGTTGATGGTTATGATGAAACACTTTGCCCCTTAGACTATGTAAAAAAAGGAATGATTGTTGATGATGAACTAAATGCAACATTAGTTAGGCCTCTTCCTCGTGGCGCTAAGCTTCACGCCATCATAGATGCTTGTCACAGTGGTACTATGCTAGATTTACCATATCTTTGTAGGATGGACAGGTCAGTGATACTACTACTTTTTGTTCTACTTACTCCTGTCCAAACTATTAGTAGTCGCTTTACGTTTACTCTTAATGCAGAACTGGACGATATGTGTGGGAAGACCATCGTCCTCGATCAGGAACATGGAAAGGAACAAGTGGAGGAGAGGCTATATCTTTCAGTGGTTGTGATGATCATCAAAAGTCAGCAGATACAGATGTAAAATTCACTTTTTAATCTGAAGTTAATCAACCTAAGTAGTGTAAATCAACCTAAAAAAAGCCAATTAAATGACTTACTTGTTGATGGCAGAGTTTGGCCAAGGTCATGTCAACTGGTGCAATGTCCTTCTCTTTCATCCAAGCAATTGAGCGCGGACAAGGAACTACTTATGGAAGTATTCTTAATGCCATCAGATCCTCCATCCGCAATTCTGATAGTGATTTAGGAAGCAAAATCGCCAGTTCTCTTCTCACAATGCTAACTGCCGGCAGAAGCAGCTCTGGCTTTGGGATGAGACAGGTAACTATAACTTATGAATACATTTACTTATCGCTAGAAATAGATATTCCCAGGAACAATATACACAAAGAAGGGTCTGGGTTAGGTAGAGTGTACGTAGACCTTACTGTTTCTGATAGATCCTCAGCTCAAGAAAAAACAGTTCATATTACACAAAATGATGTTTGAAGTATAAATATTTCATTGTTTACCTTTTGGTTGCAGGAGCCCCAGTTGACTGCTAATGAGACATTTGATGTGTACACCAAAAAGTTCTCAATATAACATCTTAAGCAACTTTACACACCTCCTGGTTTCATATAGTTTGGGTGCACAGATACCGATTGAAGTTATCGGAGAGAGAAAAGTCTTGAGGCTACGCTCCTTCAAGCCTTTGAAAATAAAATCTTTGTTAGATTTCCAGTTCTTTAACCTCAGTATTGCTAAATTTACTTAAATCTTTCTTGCCTTCTTTGTTCTGTTTCCTATTCAAAGAACAAATGTAACATTTCTTGGCATAACCTCCTAGAGAATGTGTGTTTCCATGAATGGAAAGTTGACACAAGAAATATGTGTTTGAACGCGCTACACTACTCATTTACTCAAAGTATCGGACAACGTTATGTCTATTTCTTTAGCAGACAGCATGAAATAGACAGAAATTAAATATACGTAGTTACGTAAAGCTCTGTAACAGCAATTATAGAGACGGAGTGAGAACTGGAAACCAACACAAAAAGTGCATCCCAAGATAGCAATTAGGGACCATGAGACAACTGGATAATTCTCTCTCATTACTGCAGTTTAGCTTACAGCTTATATAGCAGCAAATAAAACATGTAAGGAACCTTGTCCAAATCATTTATTCGAGTAATGCAGGACTTAAAACAGAAATCATCATCATTATCAGCTTATGCAAAAAGGGTGAAGAAGTTGATCAATCGGACACAAAGGAAAACAGAATTCACCAAGGACAAAGACTATTGCAGTTTGCTTAACCAGTGAGAGCAGCATTAAGGGCGCTGTGTACATCAACTCCAATCTGGGCTTCAGCTTTTTCTACATCGGTTGATGCAGTGTTTAGCTTCTGAGTGAAATCAGCGAGGCCCTTTTGAACCAAATTGAGGTCGATGCGATCAAGTGGTACAGCTTCAATAGCAATTATATCCGCAAAAGAATTTGCATGAACAAATGCAAATCCACCACTCACAAAGTACTTGTTCACATCGTTGCCCTCGTGAACTGATAAGATACCAGGCTTCAGCTCAGCAATTGTTGCTACATGCCCAGGTAAAACACCCATCTGTCCTGTCGTTGCGGGGATTATAACCATGTCAACCTGGATAATAATGCAAAAGAGAGGAGTGATCAAAGTTTGAATCAGATTTTCAGAGCCATTGATGCACATTCATCATAAGCATACTATTAAACCTCACACAAGTATTCCCACATAATTTGACAACTGTTGAAACATTGAGCTAGAAAATGTCTCTGGTTTATTAAATAGTCAGCATATAATGCTAAACTTAATGAGACTACAGTAAGAAGCTGAAATATATCAACAATTTGTGGAGCACCCTCGGAAATTAACCCAAATTTTAATAACGACAAGTTAGTCAAAAGACAGCAAGACTCCGCGTAAATTTAAGACCAATTGAACTGCTATATTAAGGTTGTTGCATTATTCATTTTCAAAAAAAAAAGTTGTTGCATTATTGCCTTGTAGCATAAACTGATCACTTAGACCAAGAAAAACCAAATTTAAATATACAAATTGAAGAGCATGTCATTAGTTGTTTTTCTCACAACAATGACTGCTAACTGATTCACTCCTAGAAAAGAAGATTTCACAAGGATTTCTGCATGAAATTACTACTCCCTCCGTCCCAAAATAAGTGTCACTTTAGCAATAATCATACTCATTAAGAAAACTAATAAATAGAAAGGTATAGTTCACTAAGTACCCCTATTTATTAGATGTTTCTTGAGAATTGAGCATGATTAATAAGTAGTTCTTTAGTACAAGGGTATACTTGGAAAAACATACTAATTTTTGTCTTTAAGTTCCTAAGGTGACCCTTATTTTGGGACAAATTTTTATTGCTAAAGTGACACTTATTTTGGGACGGATGGAGTATTTAGCAAGAATAGAGCCTGTTTGGATGGGCTTTTAGCTTTTGGCTTATTTGTCTTTTGGCTTAAAAACAAGTGCTTAAAAGCACTTGTTTAAAACCCACACACTTATAAAGTGCTTAAAAGCACTTAAAATAAGCCAATCCAAACAGGCTCTAAGATGCAAAAGGCTGCAGTTTAAAAAAAACCTTCATGAAGCTTAGATTTGATCCACTGTCACTGCCACAAAAACTTCCTTTAATCCTATTGATCCCTTAGGAAACAGTATAAAAACAATATCCAGAGTGGTACTCATATTGTCCCACTTGACCTGCTTAACATTTTAGAATGTCTCCCAAAATGTAAATTATAAATATGCCCCATCTCCTTAACTCAAACTAGTAAGAGTAGTTCTATTTGTTGTGTGGTCACCCATTTAAAAGCTTAAATTGTTAGAATGGTTGCACTTTGATTTATTTAATTATATCTTCAACACACTTTCGCATGCGGGCCTGATTCTTTTTCATGAGCCAAGCACATTGAAATTTTTTTATGACAATGACACTTGCACATAAAACCTCCAACTACTCTGATGTAATACTGAGGTGTGTGATCACCATCTAAAAATTTAATCTATTAAAGAGGGCACACTTTTTATTTTATTTGATATCTTCAACTGACTTGATAGTACTCCCTCCAATTCAATTTGGCTGTCTTTTGCTTGTGACCTTTCTTTTCCAACATCTTAAAACATTCTTTTGCTTGTCACCTTTCTTTTCCAACATCTTAAAATGTCTGCACCAGTGTCAGGCATTGCCCAACAAGGGCATAAAAATATGGAAAAACGGTGTCATAGCTGGTATGTTACTTGACAGTGTAGAAACAAATGATTGAGTTTCTGGTTGTTCTTCACATAAGTAGCATCACACAGCAGGAAATGTCTTCTTTGAAAGGTGATCCATGTTAAGCAAGCTTCCTTAGCAAAAATCCATGGAAACAAGCCACCTTACCTTGTAAGGCATTTTTGTCTACTGTATTTGTCTCCGATAACATGATCTAATTTATTGATCCTTGCTTGTCAGCATCCTATAGCAAGAATTAACTGTACAGCAGCTTTTGTTGTGTATTATCCAATCTCCATAGTAACTTGTCTTCACTACTAGAGAAAACCTTGAGAAGAAACCAGTGAACTATAGAGTTCAGCTACTGGGTTCATCAGTCATTCAAATGCCTTCTATATGTTATGTTCTAAGCTCATCTGTTCTACAATCTTCCAAAAAAAACTTCAGTTAACCATACCTATCTGAAAAGATCTTGAAATTGTTACTTCAAAAGCTAATGCCCAATAAGATCTTCCTACCATCATCAACTTTGAAACTAATTTTCTCCAAAACTATGGGGTGCACAGATCTTTTTTTAATCAGTACGCAAGGATTTTATACTCCTTTAGATTGCCACCCCATGAGTAGTTCTAGCTTTCTTGGTACACCAGTAACCATCTATCTCATTGTAAGCACTTAAAATTTATTTGATTAGTTTTTAAGTCTGATTACATGGATTAAACTTACATCCAGTTTCATTTGGGTTGAACAGTTTATTTGACTTGTCAAATAAAATAAGTCAATTTCATTAATTTCAAGTCCAAGACCTACTTCATTCGGACATCCAAACTCAAGCGACGTATTCAAAAACATGACATCCAAGTCAAATCATAGGCCAATGAAACAATACAACATGCTCAAATGATGTGGCATGTCAAGTCAACATAAAGACCAATCAAAGGCGGAAAAGTGTACAAATAACATGGTTCAACCAATAAAAATACAATACTATCACATAGCTTTTGTGATAGATTTGATGACTCAAGCCAACCAATCAAATTGAAGAATTCATCACAAACTACCTTCTCGTGCAACTATAAATAGGAATCCTCTTAAAGCCAAAGAAATTTGAAAATACATCAAGCAAGCTAAAGGAAAGCTAGAGGAGCTCTAAAGAAAGGCATTTTCAAAATCTTCTTCTACATCTGCGATCTTAGTCAGCAATAAATCGAACAAAGTTCAAGTCAAGATTTCAAGCAGGCGTTTTCAATTCTTTTGTTCATGAAAGTTAATCTAAAATCCTAGTTTGTGGTAGATCTCATCCCTTCCATAATAAGCCAAGAGCCCTTGAATTGATGTTTGTGAGAAGAATCAAAAGTGATGTCATTTGTAGATCCAATGCTATCATAGAGATTGTAGCTCGTATCGTCTCTATATAATACTAAATATTGTAATTTGTAACCTTTTCTTATCTTGAATATTTTGAATTTGTGTTCAACAAAAAAATTTGGCATTCCCAATGGGACAAATTTCTTTTTCCTTTTTATTTTTTTTTATTAGATAAGTGGTATTAATAACAGCATCAGGAAGATGCAAAATTTACAAGATATGGCATTTGAGCTTAACAAAAAAATCTACTGGCTAACTATACAAACTATCACTCCAATTCTCATATGCATCCTTAACAGCACAATATAAGCTGAGCTAATGAGTTAGTAAAATCCTGAAGTTGTTCTGCATTAACAGCAGGATACAAGTTGGTCCAACTAAACAAATTTTCAGTGCACCTAGTCTTCAAAATGCCTAAAGCAGTTGACTCTCCATCAAAACATCTCTTGTTCCTCTCTAACCAAATACACCAAAAAATACAAGCAGGTATCATAATCCAGATCTTCTTGATGGCTTTGTCAACTTTCCATAGACTCCAACTCTCATATGCATCCTTAACAGTGAGGGGTGTGGTCCAATTGATGCCAGAGAGACAAAAAAACATGCTCCATAATTCTGAGGCCACCTCACAATGAAGAAGAAGGTGTCTGGGGTTTCAGCCTTTTTTTTGCACATATAGCATCTATTTGGGAATTGGATTTTTCTTTTCTTTATGTTGTCTTGGGTGAGACATGCCTCATATAAAGCTATCCAGGTAAAAAAAAAACTACCTTAGGTGGTAGCTTGGTCCTCCAAATGAGTTTCCAGAGCCAGTTAGCTATCACAGGGTTTTTAGAGTACAATTGTTGATACCCTTCCTTGACTGTATAAACACCTTTCTGGTGTCCCCATTTGAGCTTATCAGCTGCCTGGAGATTAATGTGACAATGTGACAACTGTTGATACCCTTCCTTGACTGTATAAACTCCTTTCTGGTGTCCCCATTTGAGCTTATCAGCTGCCTGGAGATTAATGTGACGATGTTGTAGTCTAGCAAAAAGGTCTACCAGATCATTCACTTCCCAATCGTGCATATTTCTTCTAAATCTCAGATCCCAATTGATCCCTTCTCTATTAGCAGCAATAACAGAATTGGGATCTTGAGCAATTCTAAACAGATCTGGGAAATCCTCCTGAAGAGTGGTATTTCCAAGCCATTTGTCTGTCCAAAATTTTAGGAGTACACCATTGCCCAATTCAAAGTAAGCGTTCTGATCAAATGTATCCCACAACATCCTAATACTCTTCCACAGTCCCACTCCGTAAGGAAGTGTAGTAATATTTGAGCACCATTGATTCAGCCTTCCATGCTTAGCTATGATGACCTCTTTCCAAAGCCCTGCGTCTTCCAAGTTGTATCTCCAAAGCCACTTCATCATCATACTTTTGTTGTGGGCTGCAAGGTTCTTAATGCCAAGACCTCCTTGGTATTTTGGTTGTGTGACCTTCTCCCATTTGATGAGATGAAATTTGTGTTTCTCCCTGTTGCCTTTTGATGCCTACATATGAGTGCTGAAAGAGTTTCCCATCCCAGCTTCAGCGAAATGGTACATGGCATGTTTCAACCTATCCAATCTTTAACGAAAGATGTAAATTG